ACACAATTTTCACTCAAAGAATTTAACCTATATATGGAAAGGTAAGCCTTAAGTAGTGTTTTCCTATGTCATTAGAATTCTATTAGAGGGTAAGAATATAAAGTTCATCTCTTCAAAAAAACCACAGCATTAAGAAAGGCATCATTACACTATATCACACATCCTCAATTCTTTTTATTTTGAAAACTAAGTTTGCACGAATAAGGTCTCTTTTTCCATTAGAGATTAATATTTTATCAATTTGTGGTTAAAATGCACCCTTGAAGAATAACACTACACTTATGAAAGACATATCAAAATGCTAATGATACTTAAACTTTAATGTTTTAGTTTAACACTTCCATAGAGAAATCAAACTACTTGTTCTCCTAATACAACTGTATTTACTTATTCAGAAGATATTCTTGTCTACTCAATTTTATTTCTCACCTTCTGAAAATCCACATGGAAGTAATGGTAAAATGAATTCTCTCTGATCTTAAAAAGCATTCATTTTTTTTTAATTTCTTATTTCCACTAGTGATGACTAATACTAAAGCAATAATTTCTTATTAAAGACACAAATGAACATACTCATGAATCCAACTAATCTTTGGCAGTCAGTTCAAATTAGCATATACTATCTTTGTAACCATGACCAGCAAGCAGTATCAGAGGTACTGCTACAACAGCACATGGAGACAAGAAAACCAAGCAAGTATTAATCTCTTTAACCTTTTTGGCAACTACCTACCTCTCCCATAACCTTCACCGACACACGTCACATACAGATGTGCAATACTGAGCAAATGCTTAATGCCTTGTAGCTTGATCACCCAGCTACAACTGATCTAACTGGATGCAAACCTCTAACTAAAACTGAATGGCAATCATCCAATAACTCATGTTCTACAAGAGCACAGCATGACTTGCCATTGAAATCACCATCACAGTTTATTTAAACACTATTTTAACTATTTAAAGTAATACTTGTAATCACAACTCAAGTCGTGATTTTGGTTAGGATCAAAATTCCAACAGTGGGAGGTATCAAAACATTATAAATCGGGTATGTTAATCTGAAGGGTGTCAAATTCATGACTAAGGTAAAAGTGGTTTTGCTTTGCTAACACTGGTAATAAATGAATGATGAAAATATGAGCTTTAACAGCAAACAATTAGAAGATCCATTTAAATATCAGTTACAACGACTTTCCAGCTGAGTCCACATGCATTCGTTCACTACACTTAGTTCACGCATTTTTTAAAATTACAGCAGAAGGTTCACTGAATAAACTTCAGTCATCATACAATAATCTTGATAAAACTTTTTTCTTTTAACATTCATAATATTGATACTCTCATTAAAACATGAAAACAGCCTGTTTTATTCACCAAGCTGGCTACTTAACTTCAGTCCATTAAATCATTGCTTATTTCAGCACAAGTGAAGTTACTAACCGCAAGTTACTAAAATCATACTTGAAAACATAGTAACTTGTTATTAAAAGAAAGATATTGCCTCCTACTGTTTAAATTACACTGAGACAACTCAACAGAGAATATGAGGCACAACAAAAAACCATAGTTTCGAAATCAAAGTTTCAGATTGTGTCAGAGAAGATCACAGAATTAATGGACTTCTACTGTATAATCCTATGAAACAACTTTTAAGGCACAGTTCGAAAGCAGAAACAAGATGCACACTATCCAAAATCAGCGCTGTGCTTTCACTTGCCACTCACAAAAGGGTCAAGGGAAGGGACCACAGTGGCTCAGCTGGTCCAAGCCCTCTGCCCTAATAGGGTCACCCTAGAGCACACAGTACAGAATTGCACCCAGATAGTTCTGGAATATCTCCAGAGAGTGAAACTCCACACCCTCTCTGAGCAACCTCTTCAGTGCTCAGTGACCTACACAGTAAGGAAGTTCTTCCTCATGTTCAGGTGGAACTTCCTGGGCATCAGTTTCTGCTGTTCCCTCTAGTCTGTTGCTTGGCACCACGGAGCAGAGCCTGGTCCATCCTCTGACCCCTCCCTGCAGGCACTGACAGACATTGGTAAGATTCTTTCAGAGTCTTTTCTCCAGACTAAACAGGCCCCACTCCCTCATCCTCTCCTCTATGGTATTTCATGCACTCATAATAATTCAGAATAGCTTGCTAATATTTCTAAAAGCACATATATAGCACCTGTGTGAACAAGTCTTTATTGCTACTGAGCTGCTTGAAACAAACATGAGAAGTTAGCTAATAAAAAAAACTCAACCTGTTTTACTTGTACACAAAGAAGGAATTTTCAGAGTTTAGCCAAAATAAAGTCAGCCAAATCAAAACTTCCTTTCTTGATCGTTACAGGATTTAGGAAGCTTTATTGTTAACTAAGCTGTTTAGTTTTAAATACAACCATAGGGAGATATAAATCCCTTACTCTAGAGGTTATCTAGATATAAAAGATACCAGAAATAACCTAGAAGTATTTATTGAAATAAATATACATATACATACAAATACATACATATTACGAAAAGCACACACAAGGTGCTGTAAATACAAAATGGAGGTGTTTGTTAGGGCCAACAGCTACTCGTTCAGCATTAATACAAACCAAAACAGTATCACAAACTCTCTGTATAAGTGACATAGCACACTGTTGAGGGTATTCGTTGTGCACTCAAAAAAACCATGTAGTTGTGATGTCAGTTACTTGAGGAATATTTGGTGCAACAGATGCCAAGATACCAAAATTTGACATATCTGAGCATGGATTTCACTGCATGGAAGATATGCACAAATAAAACATGTTTTATGCTCAATAGAGTTTCCTATTGTATTACTTAGAAATAAAAAAAAATTTAAGTAACTATATTACCATGTGCATTTTCACAATTTTTTGTTTTGGTTTTTCCCTTATGCAACCAAGTATATATACCTTTTACCAAATTTAATACTTTTTTGACTCCTAAAGAATCCAAGGAGAGCAAGGTCTTTGTCATTGGACAGAGCTATGCTATAAACAGTCTTCATTGTAACTAAAGGGAAAAAAAAACATATCAAGGATGTTGAAGCTGAAGTATAACAACGACCTCATGACATTCACTTTAAGGCTAATATTTCTTGAGTGTTTAGGATTGGATGAACCCATCTGGCATACAATTCTATTCAAAGCCAGTTTAAAAATATTAGATTACTGCACCTGGATAGGAAAAAAAGGTCAGTTTCTCTGCATTGCCATCAATGACTCAATCTCACTTAACTCTTGCCATAGCCTTAACTTACCAAAATGTCAGCAATATTCCTGAAGAAAAGCTTTCAAACCCGTGCTTCTCCACTGGTACACAGAAACACCTCCTCTCATTCAATCAGTAGTTGGTAGAAACAAGTACATGAAAACAGATTCTGCAGAACCTTATTTTATTTTTTTTCAGAAAGTTAAAAGTTTCTGTGACAGTTTTACGAAAAGGCTTATCTTCAGGTCACAACCATCATATTGTTTATAGCTGGCGGGGGGTGTGGTGTGTGTGGGAGGGTGGAGGGGCAGGGAGGGACGGGGGAGGACACATGCAAAGCAATAGTAAACAAACAGAGTCAGATACTTTAGTACACCTACATCTTCATTTCTCTGCAGTTAACTCAATGAAGCTGACATTTACAGAAATCCGAGCTATTTTGCTTTACATCCAACCACTTCTGAAGCTGTGAACGGCAAGGAAGACTAAAATTACTACAGGAACCGAGGCTGCCGTCACACCTGTACACATCCACCCTCGTCACAGGAGGTCAGAGAGGGCACATAACAGAGAAAACAAGCCCTGCTAACAGAGAGTTTCGAGGTTAATAAGTTGTCTAACAGTTTTTTAACTGAGGGTTTTCCACGTCAAGGCCCTTAAATATCTTCTCACAGAGGACAGCGGCTCAGCTCTACCTAAGACGCAGCCTTCACACTCCAGTGGCATTTCAGCTACTGAGCAGCCGAACGCTTTCCAGCACGTTTTGATGAACCAAACCACTAAGTGACGCCGAATCACATTTGTGCCACCGCTAATAAATAAATAAACTCGTGAACGAGAGTAGCACTATGGGCTTTGGGTGACCCGCACCGGGCCGGGCGGGGGCAGCGCCCTAAGGGCTCAGCCCGGTCCCGGCACTCACCTGTGCGCCTTCCTCTGCCCCCGCCAGCGCTGCCGCGGCTCCTCCGCCTCCTCCGCCGGGCTGCCGAGCTGCGCCCCGTCCCCGGGGCTGTCAGGGGGCCGTGAGGGGCGAGGGGCGCCCGCGCATACGGGGCAGCTCCCTCCTCACCGCGTCCCTGCCCCGGCTCCCCGGCTCCTCATCCCCACCGCGGGCTACGGGGCACCCCCAGCTTCCTCGTCCTCCCCCTCCCCGCTGCCCGGCACCCGCCTCCTCTCAGCCGCGACGGCGCCAGGGCCGGGTCTCCCTCCAACCCTGCCCGCCCCGTCCCTCACTAGCTGCCCCCCGCCGATCCCCCCGCCACCGCCATCTTTTCCGGGATGGGAGAAGGGCGCGCAGGCGCGGCCGCGGCGAACACGGGCCTGCAGCGGCGGCCGCGCGCAGGCGCGGGGACGCACCTCGCCCCACCCCGGGAGCGCGCACCTGAGGGGGCGCGCTTGGCCCGACCCTCTGATGGAGTGGGTCGGTCGAGATTGGTCGCCTGCCTTTGTCCGTGAGGTTTGCCATAAGTGGTTCAGCTCCACAAGTGAGCGAGGTCAGCCTCACTGGTTTGTCCCTCTCCAGACGGGCTCTGGCGTGGCCAGAGTGGGCAGAGATGCTGTGGTGGCCACCTCCCAGCCATGAGGATGCTTCCTTAGTGGTTCCACAGTTTGGTAGCTGAGGTCCCTCATCACTTGTGGCTAAATGTTGCCTGCTTTTTGGGTGACTTTCTCCACTTCCAGACATCATGCTTACACACCCTGTTTAGGGTTCACTTTCACTTTCCTGTTTAGGCTCCTATTCCCTATAAAGTTATTTCATGTTGATGCAGATCTCCTGTCCTCCTCGGTGTGAAGCAGACGTGGGGTCATGAACCCCCAGCACTCCCAGCTGCAGCCTGGGGCACACAACTGTTTGAGTTTCTCTGTGCTACCTTTGCCACCCTTGGCCACCCCCTCTCACTGCTCCACAGTTTAGACTTTTGTAAATAAGATATTTCATGGGTTTTGTAACTACCTTCTTTCCTTTGATGTGTGTAAGGGCCTTTTTACCACCAGTCTGAGCATCCTTTACAAGGTGTTCTTCAAATTCTCTTTCAGTTCTGTTCATTTCCTGCTTTGATATGACCTGCAGTGTTTTACAGGTTTCTGCTCTCTTTATTTTGGCCCAGATGAGTTCTGCCCTCTCATTAATATCAAAGGAATTGCCTTGCCAAGCCCTCTCTCATTCTTCTTGGACAGAGATCCTGCTAGAGTCTGTCACAGGAAGCTGTCAAACCACAAGTGTTTGTGAGCGTTAAACACATATTTAGGGAAGTTACTACATACTGATAAATAGCTGAGTCTGTGCATTTTGTGTTTTGATATTGTCTGTACTGCTTGTTTTAGTAGTGAAATTTTCCTGGGATTTGAATATAATTTTTAATTGCAATTTCTGTCATTGCTGTGTCTTGATTATCTGTATTTACTTCAAGTGTGAAAAAATTGTATCCTACAAACCATGACCAGGAATAGCTAAATACAATCTGATACAAATTTTACTGATATTATGAAAATGCGCACAGTGAACATACATGGAAGAAATTCTTTACTGTGAGGGTTTGAGGCTCTGGCACAGGTTGCCCAGAGAAGTTGTGGATGTCCCATCCCTGAAAGTGCTGAAGGCCAGGCTGGATGGGGCTCTGAGCAGCCGAGTCTAGTGGGAAGTGTCCCTGCCCATGGCATAGGGGTTGGAACTGGATAGTCTTTATAAGGTCCTTTCCAACCAAACCCATTCAATGATTCTATAATGTTAGCTGTTCCAAATGTTATCTTTTACAGTCATATGATGTATCACATTGATTATGGCTTTTTGAAAGACAATTGTTCTTAGTAATATTTTTGTAGGTTCAATCACCTTTAGTTTCCCCAGCATATTGCCTAAAAGCTGAAGGGTGAGAACAACAATAATTTTGTATTCTAAGGAGTTTGGATTAAATCAAAGAATGTTCAACTGTGTGACAGTCTAAATAAAGACAATTTTAAATGTCTCTGCAGTGCACACAGTAACCTTCCACTTCATAAAAAGAGAAGCCTTCAAAATTTCTTGAATTCAATTCATAAGACTCTGTCTTCAGATTTCCTCCTGACAAATGTAGTAGCCTTTTATGATGGAGTAACTGTATCAGTGGACAAAGGAAGAGCTATGGATGTCAGCTACCTGGGCTTCTGAATCACAGAATCATAGAGTCATAAAATCAGCTGGGTTGGAAGGGACCTCTGAGATCATCAAGTCCAACCCTTGATCCACTACCGCCGTGGTTACTAGACCATGGCTCTAAGTGCCACATCCAGTCTCTCTTTAAAAACCTCCAGGGACGGAGAGTCCACTACTTCCCTGGGCAGCCCATTCCAATGTCTGATCACCCTCTCTGTAAAGAAATTCTTTCTAATATCTAACCTAAACCTCCCCTGGCACAACTTGAGACCATGCCCTCTTGTCTTGCTGATAGTTCCCTGGGAAAAGAGACCAACCCCCACCTGGCTACAACCTTCTTTCAGAGAGTTGTAGAGACTGATGAGGTCTCCCCTGAGCCTCCTCTTCTCCAGGCTGAACAGCCCCAGCTCCTTCAGCCTCTCCTCACAGGACTTGTGCTCGAGTCCCTTCACCAGCCTAGTTGCTCTTCTCTGCACCTGCTCCAGCACCTCAATATCCTTCCTGAACTGAGGGGCCCAGAAGTGGACACAGTACTCCACGTGTGGCCTCACCAGCGCTGAGTACAGGGGAAGAATCACTTCTGCCACGGCCCGAGGGGTAAAGGGAATGGGGACGCGGCACTGCGAATAAGGGTCAGGACACAGTTGAAGGTCGGGGAAGCAATGCCGATTTATTCAGGGAAAACAGGGACTTAAATAGGGTAGGTTCAAGGGGAGGACTCAGAACTGGGGAGGAGCATGGGATTGACAACCTAGGACAAACAAGGATTGGGGGACGAGGGAAAGGTAGGTGTGACTTAAGAGTATCTAAGGGAAAGGGCCAATGAGAGCTCACTCTGCACTGCGGCAAATCTTGGCCAATCAGCAGCAGAGGAGCGGGAAAGCAGGGGAGAACAAGGGAGTAAACAAGTTAAGGCGGGAAAACCTGAGGGAGAGGGAGGGACAAAATGGAGGGTACATTAAAATTTCATAAAAGCCAGTGGCGAACAGGGGTACAACAGTAAGAACAAATAACACAGTAAAACTGGGGAAAACATCAGTCAGTCCGTGGTGAGAAAGTCCATTCCATGTGTTTAAAATCCATAGTCCATTCAGTTCCCATACAGCTCTCTCCACTTCTTGTATCTTTCCCAGTCTGATAATTGCTCCTCCACACACTTCCCTGGTCCTGCTGGCCACACTGTTCCTGATCCAGACCAGGATGCCATTGGTCTTCTTGGCCACCTGGGCACACTGCTGACTCACATTCAGCTTCCTGTCAATCCAAACTCCCAGGTCCCTTTCTGCCTGGCTGCTCTCCAGCCACTCTGTCCCCAGCCTGTAGCGCTGCATGGGGTTGTTGTGACCAAAGTGCAGGACCTGGCACTTGGCCTTGTTGAACCTCGTCCTGTTCAATGTTGGAATCAGCCCAACTCTCCAGCTTGTCCAGGTCCCTCTGCAGAGCCTTCCTGCCTTCCAGCTGATTGACAGTGTCCCCCAACTTGATGTCATCTGCAAATTTGCTAATGGTGGACTCAATCCCCTCATCTAAATCATCAATAAAGATATTAAACAGGACTGGGCCCAACACTGATCCCTGCGGGTCACCACTAGTGACCGGCTGCCAACTGGATGCAGTACCGTTCACCACCACTCTCTGGGCCCGGCCATCAGCCAGTTCTTAACCCAGCACAGAGTGCCCCTGTCCAAGCTGTGGGCTGCCAGCTTTTTCAGGAGTATGCTGTGGGAGATGGTGTCAAAGGCTTTGCTGAAGTCCAGGTAGACACATCCACAGCCCTCCCCTCATCCAGCAGGTGGGTCACCTGGTCCTAAAAGGAGACCAGGTTGGTCAGACAGGACCTGCCCTTCCAAAAACCCGTGGTGGCTGGGTCTGATCCCTTGTCCATCTTGTAGGTGCTGTGGGATTGCACTTAGGATGATCTGCTCCATAACCTTGCCAGGCACTGAGGTCAGGCTGACAGGCCTGTAGTTTCTCGGATCCTCCTTTTTGTGGATGGGCGTGACATTCGCCAACTTCCAATCATCTGGGACCTCCCCAGTGAGCCAGGACTGTTGGTAAATGATGGAGAGCAGCTTGGCGAGCTCTTCCGCCAGCTCCCTCATTGCCCTAGGATGGATCCCATTTGGTTCCATAGACCTGTGAGGATCCAAGTGGCTCAGCAGGTCGTAACTGTTTCTTCCTGGATTACAAGGGGCTATTCAGCTTCTTCTCTCTTTCTACAAGCTCCAGAAGCCAGCTTTCCTTTGGACAACCTGTCTTACTGTTGAAAACTGAGGTAAAGAAGGTGTTAAACACCTCAGCCTTTTCCTCATCTTTGATAATTATGTTCCTGCCCATGTCCAAGAAAGAATGGAGGTTTTCCTTGTCCCTTCTTTTGATATTGATGTATCTGTAGAAAGATTTTTGTTATCCTTAACAGAAGTGGCAAGCCCTTGGTACAGTCCCGGCACAGGAAAGACATCGACCTGTTGAAGTGAGTCCAGAGAAGGGCCATGGAAATGGTCAGAGGGCTGATAATGAAAGGCTGAGAGAGTTGTGGTTGCTCAGCCTGGAGAGACCTTATCCAAACAGCTTCAGGAAAATGAAACTACAGCAGCGGCCATTTACAGCTTGTAGTCCCTTGGTTTCTTGAGGTAATAAAGTGAACAAATGCATTAGTCTATGAGCTGTACCTTTGTGCTGAAGTGCAACACAGAACTATTGCCACATGAATAAAGTAGGGACCATATCTGCCCCAGCAGTGTGACCCTGCTCAGGAGTTTGCTGAGAGCATTTCAAGCAGCAGCTGTGGCACTTTGCAGCTACAGCTCCTCCCTGGCCCCTGTGGCTGAACACCTGCTAGTGAAGAAAGAAACTTTGGCTTTTACACCATCTGCCTCAATTAAAAGCGAGAGCAAGTCACTGTATTAGACTCTCTAGCTCAACTGCCTCATAGAGGACAAAGATGTACAAGAAAGGTGGAAAAACAATAAATAGTTATGATTTTCAAGGGACCTGGCTGTAACTGCTCTAAATTGTGACATAAGGAAGCATGTGCTATCAGAAATCAGTAGGAATTTGCTCTAGCTATGACCTCTCCTTTCCCTCCCATTGTGCCTTCTGCTGCTGTGACTACCCATTCCAGAAGTAAACACAGGATTTGCCTGTGTGCCTGTGGGGGAATTCACTGATTGAGGGTGAGTAGTATACCATGGTAGCATAAAAGTAGTGGACTAGAATATGTTTCTTGAAATAGTCTTTAAAATAATCTACTTTCTTGTCTTTTCAGCTGGCTGGCCAGTCAGTCACCTGAAGATTGTTACAATTTATACTTTAGTTTTTCAGAGTATGTTTAGATCATGATCAGATTAGTATTCCATTGCACTAATGTTTGACACCTGTAAGTCAATTTCTGCCCTCAGTCAGTAAACATAAGACCATGTGCCAGAATGAGCCCAAAATCTACTGGGTGACATGAAAAGACAGCAGCTCTAATTCAGTTGTTTGACAGTCGAACAAGATGATAATTCTGAAGATTCACTCTGAAAAGTTCTATAGCCTGTTCTAAGGGCAATTTGCCCACCAAGAAAAGTTCTCCAGCTGTTGGTCAATGTCTTCAGATGGTTGTTGTAAGATGGACTGTTTTCAGAAGTGCTTTTACAGGGGCACTTCTACAGCTCACTGTGAAAAGCTTTCCTGTTGGACTAAGTTTTAAATAAAGGCGTGAAAAATCTCAATGTTGTTAACTATGTAACTGACTAGAATAATATCATAGAATCATAAAATCAGCTGGGTTGGAAGGGACCTCTGAGATCATCAAGTCCAACCCTTGATCCACTACTGCTGCAGTTACTAGACCATGGCACTAAGTGCCACATCCAGTCTCTCTTTAAAAACCTCCAGGGACGGAGA